GTTCGCGGCTCTACCTGTTTCTTTCACTCATATCTTTGTCATTTTCATTGTCTAAACCGATTTGTGACTTTGATACCTCATTTGAAAGGTAATGAAACGTAGGTAATTGTTTCTAGTAAATTGAGTTTTGGAGATGAACGAAGAATTTTTTTAACAAAAATTGAACTATACTAAGTGACATATAAATCCGAACACCCAGTTTAAATGGTTTTATTTTAATAAAGGTTGGTGAATGTATTTATCTTACTGTAAATAACAAGTGAAAAAATTTTCAGCCTTATCAGTTGGACATTCCGGTTTTTATACTGCTTTCTTTTAATTCACTAACGCTCTAAAAATGAATATTTCAGCTGCAGTAAAGAATCAACGTTGGCGGATTTTGGTTCGTAAAGGATGTCAAGAACCAAAATCCGCCAATGTTGATTCTTTACTGCGGCTGAAATATTCATTTTTAGAGCGTTAGTGAGTTAAAAAAAATCAGGAATGTCCAACTGATAAGGCTGAACATTTTTTCACTTGTTATTTACAGTAAGATAAATACATTCACCAACTTTTGTTAAAATAAAACCATTTAAACTGGGTGTTCGGATTTATATGTCACTTAGTATAATATAAATGTTTGACTCATCTATTGTTTTAGTATCATTTTAAAAAAAATATCGATGTCTTAACAAATCAGTAAACAGTTGGTCGGGTAATACTTTTATATTTGTTTTCTGGACGTAGGTTTTTAAAATAAAAAAAAAATGTTAACGCCTTGAATATTTTAATAGATTTTACTATAAATATTCAACGTCATATAGGTAAAAATGTGCTATCAGGGCAATAATAAGTTGAAACTGTTCGACCTCAATTTGTATACTTCCCCACGCACAAGCATTTGCTTTTTTGGTTGTGTATTTTTATTGCAGGATATGCCTTTTTCTTTGGCTCCTAAATTATGTTTTTTCAATAAACATTATTATAAGACCGTAAGGCGGGTGCTCTTGGCGCTCTACATCAACAAAACTTCTCCTCCGGACTTCATTCTTGCTGTTGTATTGAAGGGGTCTGCGGCGGTGCATGCTCCAGTTTTTTCGAGTCTCTTCCAGGTATCTTACTGCATCCAAACCTTCCCAGAAAACGAAATTTGCTCATGTTCAGCCCCATCTAAGACCGACCCTTACAACTACAGCCTATAGCTCTGCTTTCTGTTATAAGTAAGGTGATGGAAGGTCCATAAATCGCGAGCTTCTACCTCGAACGACATGGCTTGATTAGCGACGGACAGTTTGGTTTCCGGCACCACGAAAGCGTTCGTTCGGCTGTGGCATGCTGCCCTCTTATGCAAACTTTCATCCTGTGACCTCCCAGAGAAGCTTTGCAGATGGGTGGCCGACTTCTCTCTTGCGGCAAGATATCCGTCGTAATTGCCGGGTTCTCTTTTCCATTCCACCTCAACGCGGGTGTTCCCCAGGTATATCGGTCTTGACTCCGACACTGTTCCCCTTACATGTCAACGACCTCCTTTCCGGTACAATCAACTCAGTCCACAGCTCTGCTGATGACAGCATTCTACATGGAGGAATTCAGAATGACAAGCCGATCTCTGCCGCTGAGCAGGAAAAAGAAACTACAGTATATTCAGATAAGAGATAGACCGGATGTAAACAAAAGGTTCGGGTGATTTTCACGCTAACGCCGCCGTCTCGACGTAAGACAGGAGCCCTCATTGGTCAATTCGCAATTAAATACCTATGCCGAGCGGCAGAGCAGTCGTATCAAGGCAGAGTCACATTCAGGTTCAGACGTGTTACGTATGTCGTGTGCATCATTGCAATTTGATATTTCTTTGGACGTTTTCGTTTGTTATCTTATTAAGTTGTTGAGTTTGTCGTTGTTATTGTTATACCTTGTTATTGATTGTTATTGTTATCAACTGCTTGCGCAAAATGCCCAGTAGTACAGATACTGCCGATGAAGTTGTAAACTCCTGTAGTCCACCTAGGAAACGCTCTAAAAAAAGACACCTGAGTGCAGAAATGAAAGAGGTCATTTTGAATATATATAAGATCGAGCGCGAGGAGAACGAGGCATCAACCATCAAAGAAATTGTTGTGAAGGTTTCTCACAAAGTTGGGGTGTGTCGCGCATCAGTGTTTAATGTGTTAAAACAATACAAAAAAAATCACACCTTTTCTGAGCCAATGACCAGTAAACATCGCAAAAGTATTGTTAAATCATAGGATAAAGCTGATAAGCATGCGATTAGGAGGAAAGTGCATGAATTCTTCTTTAGGAATGAAATACCTACTATAGATAAAGTACTGCAGGAGGTAAATGGAGATACAACGTTGCCAAATTTCAAACGATCAACTTTCCATGCGTTACTGAAGCATTTAAATTTCAAATGGAAAAAACGGGGTCGTAATAGTTTACTACTGGATAGAGAAGAAATTGTGCTATGGAGGAGGGATTATTTAACAAAAATTGGGAAATATAGAAATCAAAACAGGAAGATTTATTACCTTGATGAAACGTGGGTAAACGCAGGACACACTACAAGTAAAGTATGGGTTGATGATTCTGTAACTTCATCCAGGAGGGCCTTTCTAGATGGACTGTCCACCAGATTAAAAAATCCAGCAGGTAAATACGAGTAATAGACAACAATCGGATGTTTTTCAAACCTTGGGAACAAGGTTCTAAACATTAATTCCAGGGGGCAGATAAAACGTATTACAAGTAACAAAACTTTTATAACTTTCGATAAAATGCGTGGATGTTTTATTGTCATTTTCATTTGTTAGAACTTTTTTAAGCCATGTTTTTATGTGTTTTCGATATTTCAATAATTTTTTAATATAATCTTAAATATGTCGAATATTATAAACTTAAAAAAAGTTACTAAGTTTTATATTGTGTACCGTTCCTAATATTTCTAATCATTTTAATTCATACTTTAAGCTTTATAAAGTTATAATTTGTTAATATTAATATTTGCGCGTATTTCAGGTTCCTGATCATTCATTTTTTAAAGGTTTATAACTTTAAATTAAATTGTGAAGCGCTGAGTAATCATACGACGTTCAATATTCTTTCTTTCAATATGACTAAATAATCCCAATTATAGCAATCTGATACTCATGTCTCAATGTTTTTTCGCTGAATGTGATGAAAACATTTGAAAAAGGTTCGCTTATTGAAATAAATCTACACCAGTTAGTACTTCGATTTCCAGGTAAAGGGAAAAGGCTCATTATCTGCCATATTGGCAGTGAGGATGGATTTGTTGTTGTCGGTCTGTGGTGCTTTGAGTCTAAGAAAACTGGAGATTACCACGAGGAAATGAATGGCGAATCGTTTGAACAGTGGTTTTCAAAAATTTTACCGAACTTAGAGGAAAACGCAGTAATTGTGTTGGATAATGCGCCTTATCATTCTCGAAGAATGGAGAAGGTCCCAACAACGGCTTCAAGGAAAGTTGATTTTCAAAATTGGCTCCGCTCGAAAAATATCAACTTTGAAGAAGCAATGCTGAAAGTACAATTATTAAGAATTGTCAAGGATCACAAGGCGGAATATCAAAAATACGCCATTGACGAAATGGCAGCAAGTCAAAATAAAACTGTGCTCCGTTTACCTCCATACCATTGCGAGCTCAATCCCATTGAGCTCATATGGGCAGAGGTTAAAAATTATATAGCTAAGCACAATACAACTTTTAAATTTTGTGACCTCAAAGGACTTTTCAAAGAAGCACTAGAATTAATAACAGCGCAAAAATGGGAAAACTGTATTAAGCACGTGAAAGACAAAGTTGAAAAGAGAATGTGGGAACTGGACAATATTTTAGAGGAACAAGTCGAGCCATTCATTATTGACGTTGGTGCTTCAGGCAGTAGCGATGATGAAAGCTCATCTTTCCAATAAAAGATGTCGTTCATCAAATTCGGTAAGTTATAAGTAATTATAAAGCTACTGTATTTTTTAATTAATTATTGACATTTTTGAACCCATTTTGGCAAAACCTATTCAAGAATCTACTTTCTGACAATGTTCAACCATGCACATTTTTTTACGTTTTGAACGTTTTAATTTGGTTACATATTTACCTAGAAATCAAAAAATATACTAATCAATATTCTAAAAGCAGTTTTAAGAGATATACGATTATTTTTAATTTAGGCTAATTTAAACGCCATTTTGAGATTATATTCGACTGTATTTCACCAAACATCAGGCGGCATCCGAAGCTGGAAATCGAAGCGAAAATTTTGAAACCCTTATGTATATTTACATCATTATATATTTCTTACCCCACCCCCACATGATCCTATATCCATCACCAATCGTATACACATCGAATTGTGCTAATTTACTACAAAGTTACGCAAAGCAGCATCTACTATCTAAAATATGTACTGCGTGACTCTTAATACGTCCCTGCCGAATGTTACAGCGTTCGATGATCACGTGGTCTTGTTTATGTCCGGTCTATCTCTTATCTGAATATACTGTAGGATATTGGTTTAGGACGAAGATGTACTTTTCTCCACATGATCTCCACACTCTGTAAAAGGCCCAGATAAGACCTAGCCTCGAGTATCGCTCACATGTTTGCAATGCTGCAGCCACGACTGATCGATGACTCTTCTCTTCTAACAGACAGTCTCGGGACCCTTTCGACGGGCCGTTGGCGATCTAGCTCTGTTCTACCGCTACACCAACGGGCTTTGCTCCTCAGAGCCCTCCTCCATGATGCTTCCACGTGATGTGCCTGCCAGACAGACCCGCCTGACTTCGGCCTCCCATCCCAACCGTGTTGAACTTCGTACACCAAGAACTGGTTGATACGACCGTTTCTTTGTCCCGAGGGTATCGAGATTGTGGAACAGGTGGTCTACTACCTGTAGGCAGTTCAAAAATCGGATTAACAAAATTTGAGACCCTCATAGCAGCCGCGGTGTCCTGGCTTTAGGCTCCTGCCAACGCGGCTGCTTCGGTATAAAAAAAAACAGTTTAGTCAGTGATTCATTTATATTACAAACTGAAATCATAATATAATAATCAACTCAATGATAAAACAAATTGTAATAACGCCCACATTACTTAAATCTAAACTAAGTTTAAAAAATTGCGTGTAATGGTAATAAAAAGATGCAAAACAAAGTATAACGAGACATGACAATTTTGTGATTTTCGTGGGGTTCTTGTCTGGGAATTATGTCAGTCACAATAATGTAAACAGTTCAACTTTTATATCGACAATTATATTATACAGAATATAAAACAATAACATATAAACTTTTTTACCAACACCGAATGTCATTAATGAAAAATATTCAATTACAAAAATTTTGTCTAGTCAACGGGCATATACAGATCTGTGGAGAATATCTTCTAATTTTGACCCATATACTCCCAACAATTTGAGAGAAATCACTCTTAAACACTATGAACTTTCCACTTTTCCTCAAGTCCTCATTAAGTTAGTTTTACATACACAAATATGTAGTTAGTTAATTTGATAGTGTCATCTTAGTAAATCTTTTTATCGGATGAGTAGAAGATAAATACATCCTTAAAAAAACTGAAAGAAAATACTGAGCCACAGATATTTGGGCCCGTTAATTAAGCAATAATGCAGCATATTTTAAGTCTTGATTTTTGTATGCATGCATGGCTTTATAGGATTTTATAACAAATCAACAATTTATTAATTAAATACCGTATCTAAAAAAATTAGAAAAACTGTATGCTCCTTACTTGGAAAATATTTTCATCTTTCAGGGTTCATAACCAGCCCAACAAGTATTTATCCTCACAATTTATTGCAGAAAGGCCATTTAAAACAAAAGAATTCGATATGAAGTACTATACGGTTTCATTTTCAAATTATTGAGATATTGCACAACCTATCGAAAAAAAACTTCTTGATCACATACTGTTTCCCTATCCACTTGCTTTTTTAATTTTTTTGACAATTTATGCAGGATGATCAAGAAGGCAAAATAGACTATTTCTCAAAACTTTCAAAGGAACATCCTGTATAGATATTTTCACATTTTTTGATTCCACTTTTTCCCCAAGCATTTTTTTGATATAAAGTTTATGGGGGTTTGCGAGTTATAACTCTTTTCTAAATCAGATATAAAGGTAAATGAAAAATATTACAATACCTTACAAAATGAAAAATAGCATTAAGTTGATAATGGCAAATCGTTAGAAGTGGTATATTTTCATTGTAAATTGAATCTACACAGCCTTATGCAAAAAAGTCAAAGAGTCAAGAAGGTTTAGGAACTCAAAAAACATACAAGCCCACATAAACTTTGTGTCAGACAAAAATTGAGAAATAGCTCATTTCACCTTCTTGACCTCCCTGTATAAATTGTTAAAAAAAACTGAAAAAGTAGGTATATAGAGACAAAATATGGAATCATAGAATTTATCTGACGAAAAATTCAGCACTTTAACTGTAACAGCTGTGGAGATGTGAATTATCAAAGTTGAGTGTTTTTTTACGATAGATTTTCTAATATCTCAACAGGAATGTTATACATAAATATATAGTGTTATATCAAATTTCTTTGTTTGAAAGGCCCTATCCAAATCACGTAGAGTCTTCACGTAGTTATGAATCGCCGTGTACAAATAAAAATATTTTCCAAGTCTACAGCATACTGTTCGCTACAATACTTGTATTTAACTTTTTCTTAATAACGGAGTTACCTGCCAAGGCCAAACCGAAATCTCACACTTTATGTGCCACTATGTTCCAAGAGAAGTGTCTATCTTCTAAACACCTTGTATAACCAGTTGGTTGATTTATTGAGTCTGAATGCAATTTCAGAAGAATGTCTTCGGTTCAGGAGTAAAACAATTAGGGCAATGATTTCCATGATTATACTGCGTAAAAATGCTTTTATCGCTATTCAGCGACTTGTTTCTTTTTCTTCTTTTTCTTTTTAGGCGATTCCCCATCGTCCATTTCTAACGTATCATTCAATGATGTTTCTTCTTCCACCATTTGGGAGGCTTTCTTTTTCTTTTTCTTGGGCACCTCTCCGTTTTCCATTTCTGCCGTGTCGTTCATCGACCCATCCTCTGCCGTCGTTCCATCTTCCAAAGCGAGTTTCTTCTTTTTCTTCTTCGGCGATTCACTGGTCGCAATTCCATCCTCTTCCGCATTTTGATCTCCGTTCATTTCCACTGCCTTCCTCTTCTTCTTTTTCTTCTTCTTGATGCTGGTATTATTCGCCTCTACCGTCATTTGTTGGCTGTATTCCTCTAGTGCCTCTTTCATCACCTCTAGGTTCTTCCTCGGCACATCACCCGTTTCGTAAAATTTCAAACGATCCTCTACCTGCATTAATAAATATTCCTTATTAGTCTTCATATAGGGTGCTCAAACGAAAAGGTCGCACCCCCATTTGAGACTCTCCTAGTAGATTTAGGGAAAAACGATTGAACATGACAGTCTTGATTTTTAGAGGGACCCCTTTTCTGTACAATACAGAGTGATCCAAAAATAAGATACTGCGTCATACTTTAGATTTTTAAATGGAAATCCCCATTTTATATCAAGTTTTTAGTAACTTTTGTATAATAAAGTTTATACCTATCTTCAATCGTTGTGAAGCTATTGGAGTTTATATAAAGATTCGACTAACTGAATACTGATAATAATGGAATGCACTGCAAAAAATTATAATCTTGGATACCAGCAAGAACATTTAACATCAGTGTCATCGTATGTCTTAGAAAAAGCTTTGTGTTTCATTTCAAATTGTTAAGTTACCTGCCTAGTTGTGATAAATATTGGACAATGACTTATTCAATTCAAAAGAGGGTAGAAATAACAAAACTGTATTACCAAAATTGGAGCATTGCAAGAGCTACTACCCGGTTGTTTAATGCGTTACATCCTGACAAAAATACAGGGTGGCGCATCGAAAACGAAACAGACGCATTTACTGGCAGCTCAGTTTTTTTTGAAAAACGCTCAGACCCGTCGGTTTTGTTTTCGAGGGGGACACAAGTTTGGCAAAAAATCACGTTAGCACGTGCAACCCCCTAAGCGGGGGTGACACCACCCCCAAAATCTTAAATGGAAAGGGGGGTCAAGTGATACCTTACTTTAAAGGTCTTTCAATTACCTTTATAATGATGTAAAAATGTACTTCAGTTCAGTAGTTTTGAAGATTTATTGATTTAAAGCTTAAATAAAACGAATACATCATCATTAGTCGAGATCAATACATTTGGCAGCAAAGTAATTTAAAAATGAAGAATGAACTGACCCTTTAGGCAAGTAAATGTTGAAAATGGTCACCATGACTCTCCATGCAGTAATAAAGATTTTGCTCAAAACGTTGCCGCACATTTTGCAATATTTGACGAGTAATTTGAAGGCACTCATTCAGAATTCTTTGTCGCAGGTCTTCTAATGATGTTGGCTGAGTAGCATAGATTTTGCTTTTTAAATGACCCCACATAAAGAAATCCAAAGGTGATAAATCGGGCGATCTTGGGGGCCATTCAATGGCACCTCTTCTAGCAATCCATCGATCTGGAAACGTCGGATCTAAATATTTTCGAACACGTAATGCGTAATGTGGTGGGGCACCATCCTGTTGGAACATCAACCTATTCGCAATGCACCGCCGATCATTCTGATTTTCAATTATGGCCGTTAATGCAGGATCTATGGCGTCTTCCAGTAATTCCAAATACATTTCACCGGTCAAATTTCCAGGTAAGAAAAAAGGACCAACTAAATGATCGCTAAAAATACCAGCCCAAACACTTAATTTTTGTGGTTGCTGTGTATGAACCTCATGATACATTCTGGGATTTGAATCGGACCAACATCGGCAGTTATGACGATTTACTACGCTATTTAAGAAAAAGGAACATTCGCCGGAAAAGCAAGTGTTGAATAGAAAATGTTCATCGTTTATAATTCGTTCACTCATATCTTCACAAAATTGTAATCGCCGATCAAAATCGTCTTCATTAAGTTCTTGTACCAGGTGAATTTTATACGGATGAAAACTATGGGCCTTTAGAATCCGTTGGACAGTACGTCGACTAACACCACACAGTCTCCAATTTGCGGGTACTTAACGTAGGATCTGCATAAACTTGCCCTAAAACACTCACTTCTATTGCTTCGTTCCTTATGGGATTTTCAATGTTGCGTTTTTTATTGGCGACTGACCCAGTTTCCCGAAATTTAGCTACAAGTTCTAGAACATATTTTCGATGCACGTTACTGTTCTCATGTCGCTCATTAAATATTTCTATTAGCGCACTGATTATTTCCGAAAAATATTTCGATAATTTCAACTCTTTCTGCTGTGGAATATACCACGGTTAATTTATGTAATAAAGCGTTACAAGTTATTTTAGCAACAAAGTTTGGTCAAATCAATCGCAAACTATGTACTAAATTCCTATTTAAAATAAGTACGAGATATTTCATTATCTTTCTTCAAGAAATAACTTTTTTGCCACAAAAAAAACGCTCCAATAGCTATTTTCAACAACAAAATGATAAACAAACCATGGGCGTAGTGAAAAAAAGCATTTACTTATTGAGTAAATTCTTTTAGTCAAATTTCTTCTGAAAGTAGTACAAACTAATCTGATGTACCTATTAAAGTCTACTTTAAGCTTTAAATCAATAAATGTTCAAAACTACTGAACTGCAGCTCATGTATTTTAGATCATTATAAAGAGAATTGAAAGACCTTTAACCCCTTACTGCATGATTTTTTTGTTTTTGTTAAAATAAATATATGTGCTAGTTCATATTAGAAAAGTAACTAGAAAAATATATAAAAAAATTATTGATGCTTTTTTTTAAAAAAATAGCCCTTTTCGACATGTGCCAAATTTGGCACAAATTGCAATAGCTGAATAATAACGGAAAAATTTACTGAAACCATATGTGTTATAAATCGTTAAAAATACGTGGGAAAACACCTAAACTAAATGTAATTTTGAATAAACATTTATTTACTCCAGATGAAAACGGCGAAAACAATTACGGTCTTTGTTCAAACATAATCTAACATTACATTTATCACACCAAACTTGTGTTTTCCCCTTACACTCGGGAAATTTGCATCTTTGGCGATCTTCATGCCACTCAGGAAGATGTCCCACATTGTCGCGACAAATTTCTTGGGCGGGTATTTCCGCAAAAGGATATTTCCTTTTTTTTAAATCCAGTGGAGGCTGTAGTGAGCTATTAGGTCTGCCTCGCTTTTTTGAAGTTACGTGGGATCTTGTTAGAATTTCTGCTAAACCAAGTTTGAATTCAGCCAGTGGCAAATAGTCATCAGAATTGTTCTCAGTGAGAGCTCTTCTCCACAATATCCAACTATTACAGCACAACATGTCGAGGAAATGGAAAAATATTCTTAGGTAAATTTTTTTTGACCTTATAAGTATCCTATGGTATCCTAACATCGAGGCAAGTAGATCAACACCTCCCATATAGTTGTTGTATATTTCTATACTCTTTGGACGAGGAATCATAATGTGCTTTTTTTCCTTTCTGCAAAATCTCTGTGATTCGGAAATGGGCCGACTGTCTACGTAAGTTGATACTATGGTAACTATTTTGTTATCATACCAGGAAACTACTGAAACATCTACGCCATCGACTCGAGCAACTTTCTCCATAATTGTCCCTCTACCTTTTTTCTTCATCATAGATTCCTTAGGAAATTCGCAATCTGGCACACGATTTTTGCGGACAGTACCAAGAGGCAAAATGCCCTCTTTGCTGAGATAAACCAGTAATGGAAGGCCGGTGAACCAGTTATCAAAAAAACCTTGTAATTTTGATTCCTTGGAACTGACTCTGTAAGTTTCACTACCACATTACTACTTGCCCCAAGATCTGGTTGATAAGGCTGCAACTTAGTTGGCCCAGAAAAGAAGTCGAAATCATAACTGAAGCCTGATATTCCGCTTAGTACGAAAACTTTATAGCCCCATTTATGAGGTTTTTTTGGGTTATATTGCTTTAGCGTTGATCGAGCTTTTGTTGGTATAATTTGTTCGTCAACTGCAAGATGCTCTTCTTTTGGGACAAGTAGGTACCTCTCTCGTACTTTTTCTAAAAAAGGACGAATTTTGAACAGCTTATCGTAACCAGGTTCATCGCGATTTTGTTGCTTCGTATTATCATTGAAGTGAACAAAACGTTTTATTTCTTCAAATCTGTTACATGTCATAGCTTCGGTTACTGCAGTAACTCTCAGTGTACTACTCCAATAGCTTCTAGTGGATGGCAGGTGCGCTACAGACATGTATATGCAAATTCCAATGAAAATATTTATCTCTTCTTTAGTTATATTTGGTGGCTTTTCAGGCCTACATTGGATAGCATATAAATTGTTCTGTTCCATTATATGTACCAGTATGTCATCCGTAAAGAAAAACTTGGAAAATTCGAATATACCACCCAAATTCAAAATATCTTTTCCTAAGGAGTGAGACCCCTTGAATAATATGTCTTCGTCAGATACCCTCAACTGTTTATCTTCCCAATCAAAACAAACATTGTTTTTTTTCTTTGCCTTGTTTGCTGCAATGAGAGTTGAAAGGGGAACATCGTCTTCACTATCGGAAAAATCACTTTCTTCAATCACAATATCTTCGACCATCTCTCTATCAAGCTGTTCTTCTTCTCTGGTATCTTCTACCAGAACTTGAGAAAATGTTTCTCGGTAAAAATCATCATCTGACAAATTTTCATCTTCACTGCCACTCAAGTTCGGAATCCCAACAGTTTTAGCACCATAAAATCGTTTTGCATCCATCTGAAAAAAGGGGCAATAATATAGTCAGCTTTTCTTTTACTGCAAGTTGTTCCGATTATGGCACAAGAAAACAAATGACGATAAATCAACATGTGTAAGAGTTGAAGGACATAATTTTACAAAAGTCACAATAAGACATACTTACCAGAACGTAGATAATTTTAGTTCCACCAAAAATTTGATTTTTGAACGTTTTATGGCCGCCACAACTTGATAAGCGAATGTAGTAACACGTGCTCACGGGCCGCTAAACGAAATCTGACGCAATTCATAAAATACGTGCTAGAGGGCGACAATGTTTCTTGGCGATAGAGAAGCGAGCGTGCCAGATATGGAACAGTTTAGGTTAAGGTCTTTAGCTGTTGGGGGACTTGAAAAATAACATATATTTCACGTGTGCCAAATTTGGGACAGTATGCGGTAAGGGGTTAAAATAAGGTATCACTCGACCCCCCTTCCCATTTAAGATTTTAGGATTGGTGTCGCCCCCGCCCAGGGGGCTGCACGTGTTAACGTGATTTTTTGCCAAACTTGTGTCCCCCTCGAAAATAAAATCGACGGGTCTGAGCGTTTTTCCAAAAAAAACTGAGCTGCCAGTAAATGCGTCTGTTTCGTTTTCGATGCGCCACCCTGTATTAACGATAAGTGTGCTACTAAGTTGATAAGAGAATTTCAAGAAACTGAGTTAGAAATGAAGCCGCAGAAATAGCAGTTTTGATAACACCCAAAGCAATCGTGGACTGGCTACTTCTTCAGAATTAACACGCTCAACAGTACAAAGAATTTTGAAATCAATAAATTTCACCCGAGATAAAAGATAAAACTTGTCCATGCAATGCAAATATGTTATTTAATATTTGTTGTGATGATATCATGTACAAAAGGCAAAAGTTAAATGCATTAAATCCTTTTTAGGCAATTCATCGTCTTTCTAAATTTGAACCCGTCTTAGGGCCGTTGTAACACTTTTCCGGATATGGGTCCCTATACTTAAATGTTTTCTCCTGTTACACTGAATAACTCCTAGAAGTTTGATCCCTTAGTTCTGAAACACCCTGTATATCTTTGTGTCGTCAGCATACAAGGAGCAAGTGGAAGATACATACACAAGTCAAATACGATGTGTATAGGAGAAACAAGAAAGGTCCCAACACGGAACTCTGGGGAACGCCGCTAGTCACGATCCTACTGGTTGACAGTGAATCGCCTACCCTCATCTTGAACTCTCTTGTTGATGTTTCTGGTACTACCCCACTAGGCAAGCAACCACACCTATGTTACCTTTACAGTTTAGTTTGCGGAATCTGGAGCACTGCTAGGTTTACTACACTACCTTTCCTGAATTAATAAGTTTTCTTACCTGCTGCCTGAGATGTTCGCCGAACACCTTCGTTGGTTGTTCGGTAAAACAGTCGATTCTAGAAGCTATTGAACACTTGTTTGCTAGATAGCGTGAAATTCGACCTTTATTCTTTGTCCCAGCCCTTCCGATGAATGTCGAATGGAAAATTAATCCATACTTTGGAGTGTTCCCTGTAAAGCACGAACATTTTTATAATACGCAAGTCATTTTATGGAAAATGCAGGGTGTTAATAAAGTACTTTATCAACACCCTGTATATGTAGCGGCAGTCAAACCTGCATTTTTGAAATAACTGTAAAAAAAAACACGGTTGCTTTTCAACAATTTTAATGATACCATGTTAATTTACGTAAAAAAGCATTTAAGAAACATTACTCGTATAAAAATAACATTATTAAGATGTCTTCCATTCTTGAAGGCGCTCTCTAAAATTGTTCATTATATCTGCTGAGGGATTATTTCGATTTCCTGGCGGAATCTCGCCTTCAGTTCTGCAAGAGTACGAGGCCGGGGTTCTTCGAAAACTTTGCTTTTTAGGTAGCCCCACAAGAAAACATCACATAGGCTGAGGTCGGGTGAACGGGCAGGCCAAGAAATGGCTCCGGTCCGGGACATCACCCGATTTGGGAAAACTTCGTTGAGGAGATTCATGCCCACGCGGGCCGTGTGGCTTGTTTGTTCGATCTTGTTGACATAACGTTTCATCATTCAGTCCATCTTCGCGAAGACGAGGAATAAAGAATGTTCGTAAAGCCATGTACAGATATGTAACAACACCGCGAACCGGACCACGCGACGAACCGCGCCGCGCTAGCGTAGACGGTGAAAAGAACGCCGTCGCGAACCTGATTAGCGTTCGGTCCGATCCAGGCTCTGTCGGTTTTTCAGCGCAACAGCAAACGAATGGCTCGCGACGGAGTTGCACATGTTTGGACAGGCATACCGGTGCGGCGAGCACGCGCTCATCTCTGTAAATGGATAGACCCCGTGAAGAAAAGATGGAATGGTTAGAGAAGAAAACTCTTTTGCTTATAGAGCATTACAGGGCAGCGGAATTGTTGTGGGATGCAAAACATGCATTACAATAAATTAAAAAAATAATAATAACCCTGGGAGCAGATAGCGTCCACAATGGGAACAACAGCTGGCTTATGTAAACGGAAAATGGCAATTCCGCTATCAAATTGTTGCAACCGTGTGCTGATATATTGGTATATAACTGCGTTTGCCACCACCGTCTCGGACGTCGTCATCACCTGTTTTTGGATGATTCGTAGTGAATATAAATATAGGCAGCTGCAGCTACTGTTTCCATTTCCGTCAGTATTCGGCTTTCAGTGAACGACAAACTTCAAAACTGGATCATCATTTTGTTGCGCGATGTGGTTGCACGACGTTGTTCGGTTTGTGGTGATGCTCGTTGCAATGTTGTTCGTCAAAATGCGCGCGCTGCGGTTCGTCGCGAAGTTCGGTTCGCGGTGTTGTTAGATATCTGTACATGGCTTTACATTCCCGAGTAGCGCTCGGCATTTACGGCAACAGCTTGTCCCTTTTCATCTTCAAAAAGAATAAACTTATGATTCCCGTTGAAGACATTGCACACCAAACTGTTAGCTTGGCCAAATGGAGAGGTTTTTGGTGGAGTTGTTGAGGGTTTTCATCGCTCCAGTATCTAAAATTTTGCTTGTTAACGTAGCCGGAGAAATGGAAATTGCGTCTCGTCGCTCATCCAGAGCAACGCGTGAAGTTCGTCGTTTTCCTCCATCATTTCCAAAAACGTTTCACAAAAGTGCCGTCGAGCAGCGAAATTGTTTTCTTTTAGAGCCTGAACCGCTTGAATTTTCTAGAGGACTCCTGTCTGAAATCCTGTGTAGACGCGCTGATGTCCGATGACTTCTTGTGGTAGCGTTCAATATTCGCAGGAGTTCTCGCTGATCTCGCACTGCCATCTCTCCAGTTTCTCGTTTCACCGATGTTTTCAAAGTTTTTTACCCACAACTTTATTGAGTTAACAGAAGGCACGGGCCGATTACGATTAATTTGGAAATAAACACCGAAGGGGCTGTATAACTACCGCTTTGGTAAAATGCCTTCACGACGATGACACGTTTTTGCTTAGACCACTATTTCATGGCTACTGAAATGATATTAACGGGTGAACACAACGGTGACCCTGACAACTCGCCCCACCGACTTTCTTGGCTCACGCGCTTTTTTCAAGATTGCAGGTTTGACTGCCGCACCCTGTATATACAGTGCTTTTCTTTAATGTCCCCCTCCCCTTTGATTTTTTGAACGGATAAATTCATTTTAGGGTAAAATTGACAGATGAAAATGTCAAGATGACCGCAGGGCGCCATCTTGGAAAAAAAATTATATGAAAACGGAGGTCTTGTGGCACATCATTTCGAATATCCTGACGAGTACTTTATAACCCTAGAATATAAAGTCAATACCCTTACCTACTACAAAATGGTGGTACATTTAATAATTACTTGAACACAAACCCAAGACGTGAGGATTGGTGTAACTCCAATAACGACAATTTTGTCTATGCACATTACCGTTGAGAAAAAATGTACATTCATCACTAAAACAAATATTTTGGATATAGGTAGGATGCCGTGCAATGGTTTCCGTCATAGTCTCGCAGAACTCTGTTCTTCGATCAAGGTCATCTTCAGTTAGCTAATGTACCATTTGAATTTTGTATGGGTGATACTTATTCTTTTTCAAAAGTCTCCATACAGTGGAAGGGCAAACCTCACATACATTTGCGATGGAGGAAGTAGACTGTTGGGGATTTAGCATGATCTCAAAAATTATTTGAACCTGCTTTTCTTCAGGGATGTTCGGATGACTTTTTGTTGTTTACACTACCAAGAGCTGTAAATTTAGATACAAGTTCTCTTACATATTTTCTACAGATAGGACGATTCGGGAACCTATCATTAAAAATCCTTTCGGTCTCGTGAAAGTTACGCGTCGCACCATAAATAAAAATCGCTTCGATTTTTTCTGCCAATGGACAAGAATTGACCATTTTAAAACCGAAAACTAAATAAGAATATTTTAACTGTACCATCATGTTTGTTTTCGTACTGATATTCTTGTCACTGTCAACAAAAAATAACAAAACAAGTTTTTATCGCTGTTGCTGTGGATACGGCAGCGAATTACAATTATATGTAGAGATATGCATGTTAGTGGGTTTATGTTCAAGTAATTATTAAATGTACCACCATTTTGTAGTAGATAAAGGTATTGACTTTATTTTCTAGGGTTATAAAGTACTCGTCAGGAGCTTCAAAATAATGTGCCACAAGACTCCCGTTTTCATATAATTTTTTTTCAAGATGGCGGCCAGAAAAGCTCGAAAAAGTAATGGAAAACGAAGCAAAACGGACACATTTTGTTTTGGCCAATAAAGGTGGCCACTTGATAGATGTTGTGTTCAAAAACTAGTCCCAATAAATTGTAAAGGACCATATTTAATAAAAATACCCGATATATAGAAATCAGTTTTTCGTTTTCAAAGTTATTTCATGTTTACATACCGACATAAAAGATGGCGCACCCTGTACTTAAAAAAGTGTCGACTAGCCTATTCTTATATTATCTTACCTTTTGTTTTGAGGGCTCTAAACAGCGCCTTTTCAGCACCGAGTATCTGTACGGTGGATGCGGGATACTTAGCGAGGTTCGTAAGTGAACCGGCATGCGCGATCAATCTGGCGCCCACCTGTTCACCAATCAAAGTAGCCAGATTTGGGGCAACGTCCGACATCTTGGATCTCAAATATTCGGCGAGCTGCTTCCTATACAGCGCCAAGGCTATTACACGACTCGCAAACAGCTCAATGTTCAGCAGATCCACCTGAACAAAAAGAAGATGTTGGCATTCTTGTGCAGCGGTCGATTCTGGTGCGATAGATGACCATGGTTGGCTGTCTTTTGGTCGGACGGACGAAATCATCATGTTTAGTTTATGTGGGCAGGGCCGCTTTTGGTAGCATGATCAACTGAGGCCTATTATTTACTAAGTGACATATAAATCCGAACACCCAGTTTAAATGGTTTTATTTTAATAAAAGTTGGTGAATGTATTTATCTTACTGTAAATAACAAGTGAAAAAATGTTCAGCCTTATCAGTTGGACATTCCGGTTTTTATACTGCTTTTTTTTAATTCACTAACGCTCTAAAAATGAATATTTCAGCCGCAGTAAGGAATCAACGTTGGCGGATTTTGGTTCTTGACATCCTTTACGATCGGTTACGGCGCCTAGAGTACGGAGACCTGTACGATTTCGTCAACTTAGTGAGTTTGATAGGGGCCGTATAGTGGGACTTCGGGAAGCTAAACTTTCTTTTCGGGCAATTGCAGTTAGAGTGCAAAGAAGTGTAGATACTGTGGTTAGGTGTTGTCAGGCATGGCTTCGAGAAGGCCGTACGCAAAGAGCAAGGGGCACTGGACGCCGCCGTAGAACAACAGACCGTGAAGATCGCCGCCTAAGATTATTGGCATTAAGGGAACGTTTCTCCCCTACCGAGTCCATTGCAAATGAATGGTTTGCAGAACACGGAAGACCTATTGGCCGACGAATGAGAAGTTTTGGCTTGTTTTCATACCGGCCACACTGGGTCCTCCCTTTAACTCGAGAACATCGACGTAATCGCATTGAGTGGTGCAGACAACGGTCACTCTGGGATCAGGAATGGAACAGTATTGTAGTGACGAGTCTCGATTTTGTTTAGGCATGCACGATGGTCGTGCCAGGGTTAGAAGGCGACGTGGTGAAAGGAGGAATCCACAGTTTTTTGTTGAAAGACATGTTCATCACACTGTTGGAGTTATGGTTTGGGGTGCTATAGCTTATGGTCCCAGGTCACCTTTAATCTTCATCAGAGGGAACATGAACGCGCAGCGTTATATCCACGAAGTTCTAGAACCCCATCTTTTACCCTATCTTGACACCCTGGCAGATACAACTTTCCAACAAGATAATGCCCGACCACATGTTGCAAGAGTCACAATAGACTTCTTTCAACATAATGATGTCACATTGTTACCATGGCCACCAAGATCTCCCGACTTATCCCCAATTGAGCACGTGTGGGATATGATGGGTAGGAGATTGCTCAATTTGCAACGTCCTCCTCAGACTCTAGAAGCACTTCGAGAGGAGTTGGTGGTTGCCTGGAATGAGATACCACAGGAGGACATTGACCACCTGATCAGAAGCATGCCTAGGCGCGTTGGAGAATGCGTAGCACATCAGGGTGCATCCACACATTATTAAAGGTCAAAGGGCTTTAAAGCAGTGCAATCATTTTGAAATTTTTATCATTTACTTATTATGCTTCATTAAGTCTTATACAAAATTTTATTAAAATAAAACCATTTAAACTGGGTGTTCGGATTTATATGTCACTTAGCATAATTTGCAGTAGGGCGGACGACATAAGTCAAACGTATCAAATTAAAAATAAAGCATTTAGGATTAGTTTCGGGATTGTGCACTACTAGTTTTATCGTTTTGTATCCATGCTTACGCAATCGGATAAAATGGACAGTATAAGTGACATACAGGATCAGTTTATTCTAACTTAGCTGTTTGTCCAAGAAAACTCAGAGACTGTGTAGGGTAAACAAAGGTGAAGTACGTTTCCCTTTTGCTGTTTTCTCAGATAGCCTCTGTATCAGTATTACAAGCGCAGTGTGGACAACACACTCCAGTTTTTATGACTTTTGAAGTTTAAAAATCAAAAGATCGTTTTCAGTTATTTTCGATATTTAACCGGTTTCAATTCAATAACGATAAGTCGGATTCCGAATGAAGTTGCTCTGGAAGAGAGAAGCACAACAGAAGATGCGATACTCTCGAATACAGAAAGCAAAAGAAAAGGAGCGGAATAAGCGGAATCTTTGAAGAAAGCCAAACATAAACAGCAAGCCGAGAGGGAAATTTTCTTTCATCATGAATCCTGAGAGAACCTAAGGATAATTTTTGACGGATTTATATGATAATTTCCTGCGGCGAATCTGGCAACGCTGGGTTTTGGTTTCTTTGCAGACAAAGTGTAAGTGAGAATACAGTGTGACAGTTGTATAGAAAAATTTCTCCACTATCCAGAACAAACTAAAAATGTTAGTTTTTTGGAAAGACACGATTTTTGATATGTAACTTTTTGAACGATCATAGTTTCTCTTAGTGAAACTGATAATAATAAATATTTTATACATAAATGATTTACCTGCCATAGTCAAAAAATGCAAAATTCAGATTTTCGCCGATGACAATATGATTTATATAAGTACTAAAAATATTCAGTCTGGTATCTCTTATATAAATGAAGACTTGAAGCTTGTCTCAAAATGGTTAGCATCTAACAGACTAAAATTAAATGCAAGTAAAACGAAAGCCTTGTTAATCGGAAAAAAAACAATGTATAAATGTTCAACTGAATATTGATGGTGAAGATATTGAATTCGTAGAAAATTTTAAATACCGGGGGGTTTTTGTTGACTCTCGATTAATTTTTGATATTCATTATGAAAAAGTTATAAATAAGATTAGTAGTAAAGTGGGATATTTATCGAGAATTTCTGGATGTCTGAGTTCATATAGCAGAAAAATTATCTATAATACCATCATTCTTCCAAATTCCTTGTACTGTTCGACTATTCTATATTTAGCAAATAATTCCATTTTTGAAAGACTGCAAATTTTACAAAATAAGTGCATGAGAATAATACTAAATAAAGATAAATATACTCCAATTAGTCAAATGCTTAGCAAATTAAAATGGCTCAATGTAAAAATTTTTATCAAATATCTTGTAAGGATTATTCATTTATAAAGTAAAAAATAATATATTTCCATCAAGTCTAACTAATTTAATATCATCAAATGTCGACCATCATTTACACAATACCAGAAATAAAGATGACTTCCATTTAATGACCAAAAAGAATAACATATGCTACAAATCTGTATTCCATCAAGGGTTGATTGAATATAATAAATTATACTCGGAGATAAAAGACCAGAAAACTTTGACAAAATTTAAAGTAAAATTGAGAAATCACTTGTTAAATCTACAATTATAGGTTGCCCAGCATTTACATCATACACCATATGGCTTGAATTTACTAGTTCTAAGTTGTTTACAATTGTTCTGTTTATGTAGCCAAATGTGCTAAATAAATCTTTCTACTACTACTACTACTACTAAAATTTCAAACATCTCTAATATTAAAAGTGTGATTGTAAGATTGTATGTACCTCACTGATATCCATCCCCATGCTGCTTTTGGAGCTGTCTAATATAGCTTGTGCCTTGCCTGAATCCATTGTTATTTCTTCCAGGTCCTTCAGTGATTCTTCTGTCAACATCTTTCTATTTCCAATGAATTTTGCACATTTTGCATACAAATAATTTTCAGGAACAATCTTCACCAATTCTGGGAAGTGGTACGAATACCACTCTCTGTAAACATGTGAAATAAAACATGACACTTCATCATATTATAAGCAATACCACAACACTAAAATACAATACAAGAAAACTAAATTCCATCAGTTCTACATGGGTGAATATACGATATTTGGGATTTCAATGTTCCACAAAAAAAAACTTTAAATTGAAAAATTGTGGAAATAAACCATCCAAATAGTGCAAAATATCATGCTTTATTTTTAACATATGATGAAATTGAGGTAACCATTTAAATTTAGGTATAATATGCTTGAATCAATCAATCAATACTCAAATATCAATAAATCTCTGTATATGTAATTAGTATAACAATATACAAATACTATTTGTATTGCTAAATACGCACACTATAGAGGGTGTGTCATAGTAAAATTCACTTTTACTTTAAAAAGTACTTGCAATAATATTTTCTTATGACATAATTTAAAAAGAAAATAACTCATTTTTCTTAAGTGAGGCTGAAAACCTGAAGACCGTATATTCGCCCATACACCTTGGGAAAAACCATTATTATACATTATGATGAGGAAGAGAGATGGAAATATACAAAAGTATGTAGGTGCGTGAAAGACACTCGATTGTAGGCTCCTATCTGGTAGCGTCGGAGTGTGACGGACAACGGGGTAAAGTAGAAGAGTGATAAAAGAGAGAGATGGCAGAACGGGCGCTGGCGCCTACCGCTTAGACGGATGCGCTCAACAAATGCGATTTGTTTCTCCCATTCGCAGAGTTGCCGATACCAATATGTCATATTTCTAAGAAATCTAAGTCAACCCAATTTTCGGGAAAAATAGCTGCGGATTCCACATAAGAGTATTCCAAAAATGAAAAAAGTTCAAACTATTAAAATTGTATTAATGTTTCATGGTTCAAATCATATTTTTCATGTTTGTATATTGTTGTATAAATGATTTTGTAATCCCTATTCTTGTTGCCAGTAGAGATACAACAGTATTGAGAGAAATCATGGACCGCTAGATAGGGCTACAACTACCATATGACTATCAAATAGTAGTGATAAACAGGGTTTGTTTATAACACAGTTGCCTGGTGTGGCGAATTTGCGCCATAGGGGCGATTTGACAACTTTGAAGGACAACTATAACGGTTACTATGGTGCCCGGTATTCGGGAATCTGGCAATACCTGATGATTCCTAACGTTTATCACGCCAGATTGTTTGCTGACTTGCGCAGTACAACATGACAATCAACGTGACTGAGCACCTGGTAACCCTGGTTTAAGGTGTTATATTTAAAGAGCTTGGGGCAGTTAGGTATCTAGGTCACATTTTTTAATGTATTTCGAGAAATCCGTAATGTTGAGTAAATACTAGATCACGTTCCTTGCTTAGTTTGCTGAAAATTCTACAATAGACATACATTTTGAGAAACAGAGATTTGGTGACGACAAAATCGTAAAAATATAACGCATTTTCGTAAAATAATTTCTTTGTTGAAAAGACTGTGGCTTAATGACCCATTGAACGAGTATAGTGTCCCGCTCCGCTTTGAATATTCGAAACACTATACTCCAGCAGCATTCAGCTTCAATGTTATCTTTATGAAGTTCTAACGTCTAGGCCATGCTGATTAAAAGCTTGAATGAATCAACACTTAACTCTAAATTCCCCACAATTCGGGAAGCTCTACTCAAATTGGCAACACAGTGTATCTGCCTATTATTCTCATTCGTGATACAGGTCTGCGGTTAACGGTAGGAAATATGTACGAATAGCGATGAAAGTAGACGAGCCGATGCGCTGTTGCCAAGAAATGATTTCCCATGTATAACAATGGTTTTTCCTAAGATGTATATCATAAGACCATTTAATTTCAGAATAAATCGTTACTTTACCTTATTCTCATAGAGAAAGTGTTGACATCCTTATCCAGTTGATCAAGGAGAGCAATAGACTGTATGATCATGTTATCTACTCTATGTACATTAAACTTGATTTTAGCTCTAGAATAGGAATGTCCTAAGCCCAGCTGAGCTACTCCTGAACTTTTGGCTGTGAAACCTTTGACCAAGTTGGTAAAGTGATGCCTTATACCTGGAATAATGGAAATTGAATATGAAACAACATGCATGTAAGAAACCCACATCTAAGGTTGTAACAAGTGGTTCTACCCATGATGTACAGGGTTGGGCACAAAGGACGGATATTTTTAAAATGGCTAATACTCTATTCGGGTGAGGAGAGTGCCGTTCGACTCGGGCGTTCCTAGCATATTTTCCAGTAGGCATTATGAAGCAGTGGACTGTTCAGCACCGCGTTTTCGCTCTCGACAGTTTTGTCCGACATAATGAGTCTATCACGGCTGTTTGTGAGTTTCGTCGCCACTTCAATATTCATCGGACTCGAGCTGTTCCTTCTCGAAACACCATCCTTCGTTGGGTTCAATCACATCAACAAAAGGAGCTCCACGAACGTTTCGAACACCTGAAAATATGAAACGCGTTCGACAAGCGCTCCTTCGCAATCCGGCTCGATCTGCTCTGCAACATTCTGCTGAACTTCGCCGCAGTGATCGCTCGGTAAGGCGTATTTTGCATATGGAACTCAACTTTCACCCCTATAAATTGGCCATTGTGCAACAATTACAGCCTGGAGATTACACACAACGAATGAACGTCGCACGTGAGATGGAAGAAGCACTTATCGAGCAAAATGAGAACCCCATTTTACTCATGAGTGATGAAACTCACTTTAATCTTAATGGCATGGTAAGCTAGCAGAATTGCCGTTATTGGGCTGATGAAAATCCGCGAACGTTATTCGCCCTTATTTCCAGGTGTGATGTTCATTGGCCTCCTTAGCCCTCAGATTTATCCATCTGCGATTTTTTCCTGTGGGGACACCCAAAGTGCTCGTGTACACGAGTATAAGCCTCGAACTCTGGATGAGTTGGAGACAATTTGCGTAGAAGTCGCCCAAGTTGAGAGAACGATGTTGGAGAGAGTCTATGTGAACTTTGAAGAACACCTCCAACAATGCATTGTCAAAAACGGTCACCACATGACTGATGTGATTTTCCACACTTAATTGTGACAAACACTATTTCATTGTAAGCCCGAATCCGCCAATAAATTTGTTTTTGAGTAAAAATTATCAATTTTGTGATTTTTTAAAAACCGTCTGACCTTTGTGCCAGACCCTGTATTTGTTCCTAATAATTTTTTTTCACAATTTATAGTAAGTTGCTCAAATAGAAAAAAATAAATATTTTCACACCTCACAATACTTTGTTCAACATATCGCCACTTTAAAGAATAAATTAATAACACCAGCATGGGAACTTTGATTCATTGTGCTCCTATTGGGCTGGCAGCCATAGATGCCTGATCACAGAATTATAGGCAAATAGACAATAATCTATATTTCAAATTGTACAATGACATTACAGAAATTGTATAGCCACTACAAAATTAAATGTTGCGTCACTATAACTGTAACTATAGTAGTTTACCTGAGATCTTTTTTTGTGTTACATGGTTATTTATCTTAAAACAGCTACAATCTGAAACTATTTCAACTCCCATAGAACTCATCTATTGTATGGGCTCAGACTGTACTAGAAATTGCTTAATAGTCTTTTTAAATTTATGTAAAGTGTTTATGTTTTTAATTTCATTTGGTAGATTGTTGAAAAATTTTAAACACATGTAAATAGGGCTTTTTTCTGTGGAGGATTATCTATGTATTGGATAATTCACATTGACTGTTCGAGTATCATAAACAGTTTGCACCTCAACCTCAAATACATTTTTATTTTTGAAAAAAAAAATATGAAACTCATACACATAGATGGCATACATAGCCATGATTTTTTCAGTTTTAAACACTCCCCTGCAAGTTTCATTGAAATTTAGTCCCTTTAGCAGACGTACTGCTCTTTTTTGAACAACAATTTTTTTTCGAATAAACCTATTGGACCCCCAAAAAATAATCCCATACTTAAGAAAACTTTCAAAATTAGCATGGTACAATATTTTCATACTCATGTTATTTAGGTATCTTGATATTACCCTAAAACCATAGCAAATGGAATTGAGCCTCTTCAGCAGTTCGAATGCATATGTTGTCCAATCTAAAAATTCATCTATAGAGATGGCTAAGAATTTTACACTTTCACTCAACTGCAGTTGATGATCATCTATATCGATACATTGTGACTTAAGGACTTTTCTCTGCTTAGTTCTAAATAATGTTGCATCAGTTTTGGATTTATTCAGCACTAGTTTCTTCTCAGAAAACCATGTATTCACACTTCTGAATAAGAGATTCCCATTAGCAGTTAGGTCCTCTACACTTGTCCCACCAACACTAAATTTATGTCATCAGCATAGCAGATAATTGTATGCTTGCTCTCATCACCACTAATAACAAAACAGAGATTGTTTGAAAAAACTATAAACAAAATGGGCCCAAGTATACTACCCTATGCTATGCCGGTTGAAGTCAACTCAATGTTTGACTTGTAAGTTTGACGTCCTTTAACAATTTCAACCCTCTGTTGTCTATTATAGAGGTATGACTTGAACAATTCTAGCGCAGTTCCTCTTACACCATATCTTTGTAGCTTTAATAACAATAAATAATGCAATTATAAGCTTTGGACAAGTCCAGGTAGAAACCAACAGCTAAGTTTCCCATCCTCTAATTGCTTAAGTACTGTTTGAACAAATTGAAAGATTGCAGTATCTGTTGATCTCCCATGTATCCATGCTGATGTGTATTAAATAAATTACAGTCATTTATAAATTCTAATAATCTCTTACTGATGCCTAACTCAAATAATTTTGAAAAACCCATTACAATATTGATTGGCCTATAATTTTCTAATTGCTCTGGAATACCTTTTTTAAAAATTGGTTTGATAACAGCTTTTTTTAAATAGATGCAAATCTTCTGATGTGGGCATTAGTAGAAGATTAAATATGTCAATCATTTTAGTAATTTTAGTTAAGTGTGTAAACCATAGCTAAGTGATTATAATAATTGAGATGGTTTACCAAAATTGGAACTTGAATCATATGTGTAAGAATTCTATTAATCCAGATACGAGCCCCTTCCCACTTCAGTTGGCCCACTTCAAGATTTGAGCCAAAATATGCCTTTATAAACTAAATGTGACAAAACTATTTACTTCTAAAACAATTTATTTTCTCAAAAACATTTTAGATACACTCTAGGCGTAAAAAATACATATTTGAAATCACTTAGACCTATAACTATTAGAACATCTGAACAAATAAACAATGTGCGAATAAATGCGCGAAGTTAAAAAAGCAACAATTGAAAAATTACCATTGGGTAACATCACCTTTATTTTTTATTATGGCTGAAATTCTTTGGGGCAGTGTTAACCAAATTTTGGCAAAAATTTATTGTAAAACAATCCCATATTTCTTGAAGCTTTTGTCTCAGTTGGGTGATTGTACGAGCAGGATGTTGTCGTAGAACCTTTTTCATCTCATGTCACAAAGTTTCAAAAGGTGACAGATCTGGACTGCTAGAAACCCATTTCAAAAGTAGTACATTATTTTCTTCCATCCATTTTATAGCCTTTTTTGAGGTATGACACGCTGCACCATCTTGCTGAAACACAAAATCTTGGCCGGATGTCAAATATTCTTCCATGGTAAAAGCGATTCTTCTAAAATTGCCAAATATTTGTTTGTATCCACATTTTCATCAATAAAATGAAGTTTTCCTACTCCTTTTGATGACATACTGCCCCAGACCATGATGGATGCTGGAAATTTCACTTTTCTCTTCAGACAGTCAACATGGAATGCTTCATTTTTTTTGCGAGTAACTCTACTGTGACTGTCACCAACACAAACTTCGAATCGGGCCTCATCACTCCATTGTATTGCACACCATTGTTAAGGTGTCCATTGTCCATGTTCTTTAGCCCATCTAAGCCGATTTTTCTTTAGCAGTGGAGTTAATAGTGGCTTTTCTTTGGCCTATGAACAAGTTGTGCAACTTTAGGGTTTTTACTTCACTTTTTTTATAAGAAAATTTACCTTACAAGTGCTAAATCCCAGTTTGCAGGACTCTCTATGAGTTGTGGACCTCGAAATTCTCCTTCCAACAGCATTACTACACAGAGCACTTAATTGTAAATAATTGGCACGCCTGTTTTTCATGATTATTCTTCTTAATGCTCTATATGTATATGATATTTTATGTAAGTTTAGTTTTAGTTCACTGAGGGTGTGTGTTGGGTTTACCTGTTAACACCCCAAACTGTATATAAATAAAAAATAAATAAACAATACAAAATAAGGTTGGCCCTGATCTCATGACTCAAATTCCCTTCTTTGACACACATGAAAAAAATTAAGAAATAAAATATTCTTTTATGAATTAAACACTGACCTTTCCTTAGAACTCATATTCAGAGCAACTATAAGGCCTTTTTTGTAAAATGTTTTTTTTCAAAATTTGGTGCGAGTATACCAAGATCACTCTACCCTCCCCAGACTGAAATAATGGGAGCGTCTCTGTGATAAAGCTTATTAACAACATACACAATTTGTTCTTCACATACCTCTTACAACTTCAGGTACAATCCCAATATGCGTGCATGTGATCCCGAGCCCCTCAGTAATAGCAGCAGCTAGCTTAGGATCTGCAACTCCCAGCGTAACTTTATCCTTCTTACCGCTACTTTTGGGTATCGTTACATCTAAGAAATGTTGAAGATCCTCCGGCAATACCCCCTCTGATATTGCATTGATGCTTTCCAGGGCCTGCACAGCGCTCTTGAATGGACTGAAGCTCACTAAATGGACCACACTGTTGAAGCGGCCCAAGTCATGTGTTGCCGCTTCCAGTTGGGGCAGGAGCATGCCCACCTCTTCGAACTCATTGACATTGAATACTGCGTACCCCGCAGCATGTTCAAATAACACGTACCACTTTTCAGGCTACAAACAAAATGTAATTTTAGTAAGTCTTAGCATTCAGTGACACATCTCTTACCATACTGATGTTATAGTTTATTCAAACATGAAATTATCCATATAAAAAGATTCACCACGTGCTCACAACAAACTCTGGCCAACGCAGTCGGATTTTTAGGTTAGAGCTTGACGCACACTTGATCACAAAAAAAGTCAGTGACAGCGCTTGACAGCACACATGACAGTTATGAAAATGACAGCAAAAGCATTTTGTGCTGCATTGCCAGATCAATTCTACCAATAGATTTTGAATCATGGAATTTGAATGGTAGATTTTTTTAAAAAGTAAGTAACTGACAACCAGCTGACGACACTAAATTCACTCCGGTAAATAAAATCTTATCGTTTTTCCAGCACGCACACCAATAAATGACGATTTGATAACTGTTTTACTGTCAGCTATTTTGCAAAAGTCCCTTCCCGCCCACTTCCCTAATGACATTCTTCCGGGTGTACAAATATGCGGATGACATCATTGCTATATATATGTAAATATAAACAATAAACAAGATAACTATGAACTAAAAAAACGTTATTAAAATCAAGTAGATCCAATATATTACTCATTTTAGCCTCTATTCGGAGAATATAATTACATTATGAATCATATTCCGAATTATTTTCAGTTGAAATAATAAAATTCGGAACCAGGACACACCAAAGGTGTATTTTTAAAAATAAACCGTGAACGTAGGTACAGTGTCTATTTTAGCACCTAATTTTCGAATTTACTCTTGAAAATGAGTGCAAGTAAGCCAGTCGAGGAAATAATGATTGAAAGAAAATCATCTGGGGACAGCATATTGAGTATTATTTTCAGTGCCATTAAAAAGGTAAGAAAATCCTCAATGTTCACTTATACCAAAAACTTGTTTGCTTCTAGGCCCTTTTCAATTTTCTATTTATGCTTTGTATTAATAGGTATCAAGATCAATTAAAACATTGTTACTCATCCTTGTACTTCAAATTGATGGTCCTTGTAGTTAGAAAATAAGGAATATAGATTCTAAAATTTAAATAAACAAGGCAAGAATGACCGATACCACTTCTGATCTTATAAATTTTAATTAATATGCTCATCTATAGTTTCCTGTTAATTGAGATGAATGATAACTATTAAAACTGTGATTTGATTTTTACACATGAGTGGATATTAATTCATAAAAATTTCAGCTATTCCAGTAAAATTTGGTTTTTTCTTTAGGTTTCAATAGTGGGTATTGTATATCTAGCAGGGTATATGCAATGGTCTGTTGCATGGTTTATAGGACCTATAGTTTTATTAGTAATTCGAGACCAATGGAAGAAAACAAGTGATAGAAAGCGAAATTTTGCAAAAGTAACATCTTTGTCAAGTGAAAAGGAGGTTGTTTTGGCTAGATTGAATGATTTACCAGCTTGGGTGAGTGATAAGTACCTATTTAGTTTTTTTTCTTAGTTGAATGTATTATAAGTGTCTTAATAAAAAAATGATTTCATGAAGCAATCTTGATTATAATATTACCCAGTAACTCTTAACTTAATGATGTATTTATTTTATATTAAGTGTACAGTATTTAAGTTTATCATACATATTCTAATAGATCTGAAGAAATGTGGTTTATAGATTAGTAGTTTGAAAGATATAGATCATTCAACCAAATAAGGAAATTTGGACATAGAATTCATATTGGTTGTACTGAGATGCACAGAGCTTTTCTTTATGGGCGCCCATCAAAGAGGCAAGAGTGGTATATGCCCCCCTGGCTTCAGCTGAAGAAGGAAAATATTGTGTAACTGAAAAGAATTAAGTTGATTTCAAATATTAAAATCCATCAATCTGTTCAGGCTGTAGACCATGGAAGGAATATAATGTTGATGTTTGTGTAATCCACCATTTCTATTTTCTAAAAATTCAGTATACCCAGTGTTACTCTCACGGTCAAGATAAACAGGGATCCTAGCAACTCACTTTTTCAATCCAACTCACTTTTCATTCAACATTCGCTTTCCTCACTATTTTTGCTGTCACTGTACATATTGTGGTTTATGAACGTTTTTGAAGGAGATACTGTCCTTCTCTCAAGCCCCATGAAATTGAATGAGAATCTTTTTTTATAAAAATCAACTGTGACAAAGTTGTACATGTCCTTCCCAAGCTGAGCCAATATGTATTACATGATAAATTACCAGGATTAGTTGAAATCTATGTTGAATTTTAATTCATCTATGATCTATCCTAAAAGCACTCCTTATACAGGGTGTTCCTTAATGATATGCGAATATTTAAGGGTGTGAATTCTATAAGAAAAATTAATGTTAGTTTGCTTTATAAACTATGGTCCAAAAATGTTTCCTTACAAAAGCTTGGGGTGTCGAACCTTTTCTAATATTCATCGTCGTCTTGTTGAAACTGGTTCTGTCCGAAAAGGAACATCTGAAGGTAGACCTCTGAGTGTGAGAACACCTGTAATTAAGGAAGCAGTGCTGCACTAAATCGAAGAACATCCTGAAACGAGAACGAGGAAGATCGCTAGACACTTAAATATTTGTCATCAAATTGTTTGGAGAATTTTGGTGGATTTTTTGTTATATCCTTACGATATTTTAAGAGTAGAGGCATTACTTCCCATTGATTTTCCAAGGCGTGTGACCTTTCGTCAGTGGTATCTTCAAAAAATTACACAAAATCCGCAATTTGAGTCAGTGATTCTGTTCACGGATGAAGCTAATTTTCCTCGAAATGAAATTCAGAATTTCCACAATAATCATTTGTGGGCAGAAGAAAATTCCTATACCGTAACCGAAACCCATTTCCAATACCAATTTTCGGTTAACGTATGGGCAGGAATTATTGACAACCACTTTATTGGCCCATTTTTCTTGCCGGGACAACTTGACGGACAGACTTACCTCAATTTTCTTCAACAACAGTTGCCTTTGCTGCTTGATGATATTCCGTTAGTAATAAGAAACAATGTGTAGTACATGCATGACGGCACACCAGCGCATTTCAGTGTAGCGGTTGGTAATTATTTACAAACCGTTTATCCAAATCGTTGGATTAGCCACGGTGGGCCTTAAGAATGGCCACCAAGGTCCCCAGACCTCAACAGTTTAGATTTCCTTTTGTGGGGCTATCTTAAGATACTAGTATACACAAGTCCCATTAACTCTGTAGAGGAATTAAGAGACAGAAAGTTGCAGCTTGTGACAAAAAACACTCCAGGGATATTTCAACGAGTGCGCAATTCCATGAGAAGGAGGGCGGAATCATGCAAGTGAAGGGTCCATTTTCAACAATCTTTGTAATCAATTGGTTGGTTTTAATGTTATGTTTATATTGTCAGTTGTTGTTGTTCATTACCCCTAATGTGTTTAATTTTTCCAATTAAATTAATAATAATTTTGCAAGTTAGAGAATATAACGGTTTTTATTTTTTTACTCAAAAATGGCGCATCGAAGGAAAACAATTCAAGAGAGATCATTTGTTTTAAATTGAACGGGAAATTCAAAAATAATTTTTATTTGGCAAAATCATTGGTGTACCATTTTTTTCTTAAAAAATATCGAAGTCAATACCCGTACGCACGCCCCTGTTAGAGCAAAAAATTATTTTTGCATTTAAAAATATGGAACTTTATTAACTTCCACTACGTACTAAATATCATTGGAATATCTGAAGCGGTTCTGAAAATATTAAATAATTTCCATTTTTTTCCTAAAACTTCAACACACCATGTTTTTGTAAGGACACTGTATATGCACTGGGGATCTTGAATTCTAAAACGCTAAGCAATACAATGCGAAGTCGTTTATAAAAGCAAAGTTGCGCATTCAGGTAACTAATAAAATGTTACTTAGATAGTTTGGCAATTCAGATAGTATTTTTGGAGAGATGGAAAATACAAATTCACCCTGAATCATTATCATTTTTTTCTGGCTTAATTTGAGCTGGGATTGCATTAACTGTGGCACTATTTACAAGCCTTGTACAAGTAACTGTTAGTATATTAATTTGCTAATATGCATGTGTGGGACAAATCCTGAAACCGAATTGGCGATTTATCAGTTCCATAGTCACCTCTATAATATAGGCATCAGATGAAACGGCTTCAGAGAAACACAACGAGCAGTGTCGTCATTTCAAATCAAATATGTTGGCATTTATAATTTCTGTAGATATGGTTATCGTCTGAAAGTGCTTAATGAGAGAGATGCAGTAAACAACGTGACGTCTTTCTAGGTCCAATATGGCGGCTGCCGCAAAATATCGATTTATAATTGCCATATTTACCCCATATTAAGGTTATGAAGTGAAAGGAATGATGAGAGAAACACAATATGCAAAGTGACGTCATTATAATCCAATTTGGCGGACGTTTAATATGATAATTGACATTACAATATAATTATGACATGGGGATCTTCAGATGAGGAAGCCAGAAAGTGGTCCTGGGAAGCTATCGAATAGAGCTTCACTTGATTCATAAAGATAATACCTTAGTATTACGGTATGATGATTAATTGTGTCGACTATTGTGTGAAACATACTCATCTACAATAACTATATAATTATGACATGGGGGATCGTCTGATAATGAAGCCTGAAAGTGGTCCTGGGAAGCTATCGAATAGAGCTTCACTTGATTCATAAAGATAACACCTTAGTATTACGGTATGATGATTAAGTGTGTCGACTATTGTGTGAACAATACTCATCTACAATAACTATATCAAATTTCAACTTATCAGTTGAGCAAGAATACTTGATAGATATAAGTACGTCTCTCGTATTTAAAAAAAATTGTTATATTTTTTATGTTTCTTTTATGCATTGTATTCATTAACATAAATAGTTATTTTTGTTTACGTCAATAAAAGAGTAACAAAGACCTTATAAGACTTATTTTCGCTTTTTCCACACACTCTTATTTGCATTATCTGTTTATATTTATTGGCATTATGATATTCAACTTATCAGAAAATTGACTCACTTTTTTATGTACAAACTACCATTTCTCGCTATTTTCTCAGTACTTTTTTGAAAATGTGACTTTTGTAACTTAAATTCATGCTTTGGGCCGCCAGCATCACTGGACAAAGCTAGAAGCACCTCATATGCCATACTCCCTCCAACTTCTTCAACTGTAACCCATAAAATGGGAATTTTGAGGTAAACATTTTTTATTGAAATTGATCATTTTGGTTTCATAAAAATGATTATAGCTATTCCAGCTGTAAACTGTGAAATGATGATTTCAAGGTTGAGATTTTTTATTAAAATCCGCCATATTGATTTTACAAAAATTAGTATTCACACTAGCAACATATCTCTTATGTAACCCCCCTTGCTTCATGGGCGCCTATGCTTGTCGTTTTTATAAAAGGAGTACACTAGAAGTATTGATGTTTACATTTTGTAGCCGAGCTCACATAATTAAATATTAATTTATGTTTTGTTTTAATAGGTTTTCTTCCCAGACATCGAAAGAGCAGAATGGCTAAATAGGGTAAGATATTGTGGGTTGTCTTAAAATAGACACAGAGTTGATTATAAGTTCAAAATTGACTTCTGGAATAGGATGTCTTCAACAAGATTTTCCATAGACAAAAATGATTCTCATTCACAGTATTAAATAACGTATTTTTAACAGTACCATAAGTTGAAAAATTAGATTAATTCTATGGAGCTCTACATTTGTGGTGTTTGCTTTTGAATTACACTGATAAACTCAGAATTTGTGACATGACAATTTTGGCTGTATCTTATGTATTTTGAGACCCGTAAATCAAATCTAAAAACAGAATTTTTCTATCACCCACAGATATTCGGTAACATCTACTTTTATGAATTGCAATACGTAACATCTCATTTTGCTGCATTTCACTGCGTTCATGCGATGACGCACATATATAATGTTAAGGCCTATCTATTCCTGTTTACTATATGCGATCTCTATGTTTAGAGAGCATATTGCATTTATTAGTAGACTAATAGCAGCCGAGTCAGTTACGTTTTCTGTGTTGAAGAGTACTGAGATGTTCTGAGTAGGTACTGTTAATTTTTGTTAAATTGGTGTGTTGTTTTCAGCTTATTGTAATCGAGATGGACAATGCCTAGAAATTGTCTGAATAGTGCGAACAGTTTTTGTTATGTGTGCGGAGAGCGAACTTTTGAATCCGAAAAACGTACTTTTACTCCCCTTGTGTTGAAAGCATACGAACTTTATTTTATAATTAAAGTTGGCGACCGAGATAAACTATGGCCCCTCATATATGTTGTAAGACTTGTGTAACGTTGTTAACAGGTTAAGAGGCGACAATCGTAAAATGCCCTTTGTGGTTCCAATGGTTTGGAGAGAACCGAGAGACCATACTACTGATTGCTACTTTTGCCTCAAAAATATTAAAGGTATTGGACCAAAATCGAAACATGTTGTTAAGTATTTTAACTTACCATCAGCTTTGCGG